AGGGCAACGTCCTCCAACAAGACCATCGAGGTCCTCTTCTGCCCACTCTCCACAGGTACACAGAGGTCACTGTGCCTGTGGGGAAGGAGGGCCAGGCCAGGCCTTGAGTTGGGAACACAACGTGCTGTCAATGTCTGTGTAGTGCTGTGGTTTTAGGCAGGCAGCGTACAAGAGTTGCAACATCATGGGGCATGTGCCAAGGGTGCAGCAAGCCTCTGAGGCCAGGCACTGTCCCCACGTGAGCTTGTGTGGGCCATGCAGGAAGCTGCAAAGGTGAATCCCAAGTAGTAATGCAGAGCTAGAGAACACTGTAAGGGGGACCCCAGGAGGTAATGCTTGGAGATGCCAGGCGTGTCAGAAATCTGTTGAGGAGAGCTGCAGGCGTGGGATGGGGTTTGCCAAAGAAAGAGACGTGTGCTGCAGGCAACAGAGCTGTGGGCAGTGCTCCTTGTGGCACCAGAGTCCCGACAATGGCGCCATGAGGCTGCAAACGAAGCTGGACGCAGAGCTGAGGGAGTTTGCCCTGTTGGGTTTTGGCTTTGCTTGGTGTGGCCTTTCTGTGCTTGTCTGCTCATCTCCATTCCTCCTGTTTGGATTGGTAATATTTCTATGTTGGCGTATGTGAGCAGGGTTTGATTTAGGGGCTCATGGCTCATGATCACAACTTGCATTTCAAAAGGGATTTTGGACCTTTAATGGTGTTGGGACTGTCGGGAGACTATGGAAAGTTTTGAATTTGTACTCAATGTATTTTTGCTTCGAGAAGTGGCCATGAGCCGAGGGCTGTGTCGCCAGCGAGAATGTCCTCCTTGGGCTCCTGTGTTCGAAGGTCTGATCCCCAGCTGTCGGTGCTGTTTTGGGAAGGTTATGAAACCTGCTGGGTTTGGGGTCTAGCTGGCAGATGTAGGGGAACAGGGACGGGGCTTGAGGGTTCCGGATGAACTCTGCTTTGGTCCCGAGCTCTGTGATGAGGAGCCTGTGCGACACGCTCCTGCTGCTATGAGCACCCCCGTGCTCCCACCACCATGTTTGCACTGCCGCGCTTTACCCACCATGCTAGACTGAAGCAACACACACACACACACACACACACACACACACACACACACACACACACAAATCCCTAGGTTGTTACCACTAACGCAACTCATTCAGTAGCTATCCAGTCAGGTCACCTTCTAGATTAAGTTATATTTAGACAGATATGGAGAACTGGGCACAGAGAGGTTAAGCAGCCTGTCCCTGGCTGCACAGTAAGACATACCATGACTCTCTGCATTCCAAAATAAAAGACAGGAAGCACATAAGGAAATATAACCAGAAGCATCTGGGTTGAAGATTTCCCAGGGAGGCAAGGAAAAACAAATTAGCGCCACAGAGCCTCCACCCAATGGCTTCGAGGACAAACACAAGCAGGTTCTTCCACAGAAGGAAAAAAAAAAAGAAAGATAATAAACAGAGTGAGCGTCTCACTGAGCCCAAGCACGGCAAGTCAGTCACAAGGGAGACGGGAAAGCACAGCCAGGACAAAAATAATCCCCAAAAAACGAGGTGGCTTGAATAAGAATGACTGCACAGACTCCCTGTTTGAACGTTTGGTGCCCAGTTGGTTGGCCGTTTGGGAAGAATTAGGAGGTGTGGTTTCATTGAAGAACACGGTGGGCCCCTGGGGTGGGCTTGTGGATTTCAAAAGCCCACATCACGTCCAGTTAGCTCTCTCTGTCTCATGCCTGCGCATTAAGGTCTACGCTCTCAGCCACTGCTCCAGCGCCCATGTCTGTCTGCCTGTTGCCATGTTCTCTTCCATGGTGGTCACGGGCTCTCTGGAACCTTGAGCCCAAGGATTAAATGCTTTCTTTTATAAGTAGTGGTAGTCATGGTGTTTTGTCACAGTAATAGAAAAGGAACTGAGACAAGTTATAATGGTTGTGGAGCCGGAGGGAATGATTCAGTGGTTCTGAGCACTGGCTGCTCTTCTAGAGGACCTGAGTTCATCACCTGGTATTTCCTTAGGTGCTGTAACTCCACCTCCACAGGACCCCACACTCTGTTCTGAACTATACTCATGTGCAGAAGCACACAACGAAACAGACACACATACACACAGACACACACAGACATACAGATACACAGGCACAGACACATACAGACAAAGACACACAGACATAGACACACACACAGACACAGACACACTTATACATAGACACAGACAGACACACAGACACACACATATACCTACACATAAACATACACACACACACACACAATTAAAAAAATTTTTAGGCCCGGCGCGGTGGTGCACACCTGTAATCCCAGCATTCAGGGAGGCAGAGGCAACAGGATCACTGTGGGTTCAAGGCCAGCCTGGTCTACAAAGCAAGTCCAGGACGGCCAAGGCTAGCCAGAAAAACCCTATCTTAAAAAAAAAAAAAACAGAATAAGAATAAAAATAAAAATCTATTTTTTAAAAAGAAAAAATTGGGGGACACTGTTTTAACTGGGTGCACAGGAGCAGAATATCAGCGGAACAGATGGATGGACAAGAACACTGGTCTCTGAAGGACTCCAGGTCCACAGGTCACAGAGCTACCTGTCCATCAGTGTGTTCTACAGCATTCTTCACAGCCTGGGTGTCTACCAACAGGAACAGATAGATAGAGTGTGCAAGTCTACACAGCCGAACTTCCTCTACACGAGAAGAGCAAAGAAAGACACATTTTTAAGGAAATGGCAAAAACTCGGCAGTGGGGCTGGTGAGGCATAGTGGCAGAAACCACGGCTCAAGCCTCTGGGTGTAAGGTGGTGTGAATTATCCTGGCTCCCACATTTCATCCACTGCTAACCGGATAGTAACAGGCCGCATTCAACCCAGTGAAGTGATTACATCTTAAACGTAACGGGTCAGCATATTTTCTGTTTCTATAACAATAACACCAAAGGCCAGGTGCTTATGAAGAAAGGAGGTTTATATAGTTCATGGCTCTGGAGGCTGAAACACAGCAGCATGGCCCCAGTTCTGCCGTGGTTCCCCCCAACTGCATCTTACCACCGGTAGATGGCAGCCTGGAAGGAGGTCACGTGAAGGGAGGGAAACCCTTGAGGTGAGGAGTTAGTTCTGACCTTCACCATGCCCCACCTCTAGGGTACCATCCCACCAAGGACCAGATGCCCGAGACAGACTCTGGTGATACCCTCCAGCCACATTCAGACAGCACTAGGTGGGAAACCTGGTTATCAAATCAATTCCACTCATCTGTGTTTGCAATTTCAACCTGCCACACTGGGGTTTGCCTGCTGGATGGTGCTGTTGGAACATGCCAGTCCCCAGGTGGACACAGGCAGAGCATCACATAAGGTGGGGGGATGCTGCCCGGGCATGGGGCCTCCCTGACCATGGATGCTTAACCCATCCAGAAATGGGGTTCCTGCCCTCCGTACACCCCAACTGTTCGGACTCAAATGGCCAAAGGGCATTCTTGCCTGACTTCAGCTCTCTGTGATGGAGAAACAAGCTTCATTTCCAGAACCCTCCAAGGAGGGAGTGTCCATCTTCCAAGATCAGGCTGGCCACTGTCAGTGGGAGACCCACAGAGGTGAGCCATGGTGACAAGGTGCTGGGCAAAGGAAGGACTCGGACCCGGATGGCAGCTATAGCCTGCCCTTCTTGCCTCCTCCAAGTAGGCCTTCCTTGGAACTGGAAGAAAATTGACCAAGCCCATGTTTGTTGAAAGGCTGCAAGGGGCTGTTCCTTCTGGTAAGGACCCACAGAGCAGCCAGTGGGGTCAGGAGCTTCTGGAACACAGAGCCATCTGCCTGCCAAGCTACCAATTCCCATTCTGCTGACAAACTTGTGACTTAAAAGATTGATTTATTTGTGTGTGAGTGTGTGTATGTGTGTGTGAGTGTTTGTATGTGTAAATGTTTGTGTGTGTATAAGAGACTGTGTGTGTGTGTATGTTTGTGTGTGTTGTTTACCTATGGATGTCAGAAGACAGCTAGCTGAAGTCAGTTCTCTTTCACTACCTTGTGGGATCATCTGAAAATCAAACTCATTTGGCAGTGTCCTACTAAGCGCCTCTGAAGATCTCTCTAGCCCCCCCAAGACTCATGTGTCCCGGGTGGTCCTTGGGAGCAAGTGACAAATTTAACAAAGCTGATCGTGGACCCTGGAGCGTCTGACCCCTTCATCCAAGGCCTCCATTGGTGCTCTGTCAGGGACAAGACCATGACTCAGCCAAAAAAAGAACAAGGCACGCAAGGAAACAAGCCACCAGAAGTGAGAACTGGCAGAAACTTCTAGAAACTGGCTAGAAGTGGCTCTCGGAAATGATCGACGTGGGAACGACCACTCAAATTGGAAAGTAAATAAAATGCAGAAGCTTCCAGAACCAGCCCAGCAACACAGACTCTTCCAGGAATCTCTATTTGTTTTATTTCACAAAGGGGCATAGAGGACAGGGAAGGGAGCTGAGTGGGTGGGGGAGGTCACAGAGAAGACCCAAGGTCAGCTTAGCTCTGAGGCCTGCATAGGGGACAGGAGTACAGAGCAGGGTGTCAGGCCTCAGCAGAGCCCCTGCTGGCCCTAACCATGGCAGGTGTCTAGTAGCCACGAAGGCTCTCCCTGGAGCCTGCAGGGACACACACACACAGAGAAAACCAAATAGCCAGCAGAAGGCCGACATTGGATGCAGCTCAAGGCCAGGGTCTCAGAGAGATTGAGCTATGACACATGAAGCCTGTCCCCCCCGCGTGGCCAGATGTTCTAGGGCAGCCTCAGAAGGTTTGCAGGAGTCACAGCTGGTCAACTGGTCTCAGGCTAGTAGCCTCTGTCTGGCCACCGGATGAAAAAGAGTGTGGTGAAGGCAAAAGGTAAGATACTGGGAACTGAGCAGGGAGACATGGGTACGAGGCTGAGCCCAGTTGTGGGGAGCAGGACTGTGGGGCTCAGGACTCTGAGGGTATCAGACCTGCACCTGGGGGATTCTAAAGAATGGGACAAATCAGCAGCAGCTGGACTTCTGGCCCGAGGAGAGGCCACAGCAGGCCTGGCGGGAGCAGGCAGGGCGGCAGAGCAGGGACACACAGGAGGCTGGGCGGCAGCAGCTGGGCTGGCAGGAGGAGGCACAGCAGGAGGAGGTGGGCACGCAGCAGGCGGGTCTGCACACGGGGCGGCAGAGCAGGGACATGCTGGAGCAGGGCTTGCAGCAGACAGGAGCACAGCAGGAGGGCTGGCAGCATGAGGAGGATCCACAGCAGATGGGTGTGCAGCAGACAGGCTTGCAGCAGAGAGGCACACAGCAGGAAGGCTGGCAGCATGAGGGCTGGCAGCATGAGGACTGGCAGCTAGACTGCTGGCAGCATGAGGACTGGCAGCTAGACTGCTGGCAGCATGAGGACTGGCAGCATGAGGGCTGGCAGCTAGACTGCTGGCAGCATGAGGGCTGGCAGCTAGACTGCTGGCAGCATGAGGAGGATCCACAGCAGATGGGTGTGCAGCAGACAGGCTTGCAGCAAAGAGTCACACAGCAGGATGGCTGGCAGGGGGAGCAGGTGCAGCAAGCTGGCTGGCAGCTAGACTGCTGGCAGCATGAGGGTGTACAACAGGAAGATTGGCAGCAGGGGCTGGACACACAGCTCACTGGGGTGCAGAGGAGGGTCAGGCAAGGGGCTGGGGCACAGCAGCTGGGGACACAGCAGCTGGGCTGGCAGCAACTGGGTTGGCAGCAGCTGGGCTGACAGCAGCTGGGCTCACAGCAGCTGGGCTCACAGCAGCTGGGCTCACAGCAGCTCTCTGGGCAGTCGTCCACTTGCCAGGAGGAGTTGGTGCAAGCATCAGAGCAGACAGACATGGTGGAGGCAGCCATGGCAGGTTTAAGCTGGAGAAGGGTGAGTGTGTGGATGTGTGAGTGTGTGTGTGTGTGAGGTGCCACGGTGGCCGGCTTTATACCCCTGGGTTGCTTGTGTTGTGCCTCAGCTCCAGCTTCCTTTTCCTGGTCATGTTTGGAGTCAGACTGTCACCTCACTGTTGATGGGCTGTCAACAAACACTGCTGTTTGGTGAGGTTCTGGAGCTGCTGCCTCCCTTCCCCCTCCCCCCCAGGAGAAATTCTACCGAGATGCTCTGATCACATGGGAGACCAGGATGGCAGCCACCACATGACTGCCTGGAGGTGTCCTATCTCAGAAATCTTAGTCCTTAGGGCAGCATCTCTGCCCGAGCAGAGATGGAGTCGGGGCACCAGGGCTGTGGGCTTTGAGGATGGTGGCATGTTCTCCTGAATTGCTCTGTAGACTTGCTGTCTAGGGGTGCCTCCTGCTGTCAGTGGGAACCCCTTTGTACCTGTGGCAGGCCAGAGGGAGTCTTCCTGGGGCAGAGGTTGGCTCACAGCAGGTGTGAGAAAGAGGTGGCCTGGCATCAGGGTAGTAATCACCTCCTGATCACTGCCATCTGTCACATTTCTTGGAATCTCCTGACAGTGCCTGTAACGTTCATACATCCTTTGTCTCCTCTGAGCTCGGGTGCTCAGAGCTCCGGTTTTTCCAGGGGCACTGCAGAGCTCCCTCCCTCAACACAAGTCCGCTGGGGACTCAGACCGTGTGAGGACAACTTGTTTACCAGAGCGTTGTCCCACACGCCTGCTCATTCAACACTGCTCCAAGCCCGGTGGACATCCAGAGTCTCTGTGGTTCCTAAACTATGTCACATTTCAAGGGCACCTCCTCAGCAGATGCTCTGGGCTGCAGAGTCTCCAAATAGCTTCTCGCTAGACAGGGCACCGGCTGGGATGGATGAGAGGCAGGGCTTGGAATTTCCGTGGTTCTGATGGTGAGTAAGATGCTGGGCCCTCCATGCAGGCAGATGGAGAAGTTCTGTCTCAGACAAAGGCGGAAACTTGCCCGGTTTGTTGAAAAGACATCAATCTTCACACCCCGGGGGCTCAGCTGATAAGACAGAGCCACTTGGTAGATTCCCCAAGCAGACTTTTAAAATGAGCTGAGCTCAAACCCAGGGGAAGGTCTTGAAAACTGCCAAGGGAACCCTGAGAGCAGCAATGGCCAGCCTTGGTCAGAAACCTGGAGGCCAGATGCAATGGGTGAGAATTACAGACACAGCAAAACCGTTTCAGAAACTAAAGCAAAATAGAGGCAGCCCGATAAACAAAGGAAGAGACTCCGCCATCAGCAGGCGTGGAACAAAGTGGCAGGGTACAATATGGGAAAAGAGTTTTACTAGCTGCATATCCAACAGAGGGCTAAGATGTAAAATATATAAAAGAACTCAAAAAAGTGGGCATCAAGAAAACAAATGACAAATTAAAAAAAAACGGGGTACAAACAGATCTACACAGAGAGTTCCAGAAGATGAAAAACAAATGGCCGGAGGACGCTCAGAAATGTTCAACATCCTTAGTCATCAGGGAGATGTGAATCAAAACTACCTTGAGACATCATCTTACACCTGTCAAAATGGCCAAGGACAATAAAATAAGTGACAGCTCATGCTGGCAAGAATGTGGGGCAGGGGGAACACTTCTTCATTGCGAGGGTATGTACAAACTTGTGCAGCCACTATGGAAATCAGTGAGGTGGTTCCTCAGAACCTGGGAATAGATCTACCTCAAGATCCAGCTATTCCACTCTTGGGTATATGTTCTACATAGACACTTGCTCCTCCATGATTATTGCTGCTCTATTTATTATAGCCAGAAACTGGAAACAGCTTGGATGTCTCTCAGTGGATGAATGGATAAAGAAAACGTGCTACATTTATACAACAAACAATTACTCGGCTGTCAAAAAATAAAACCATAAAATTTTCAGGTAAATTGATGGAGCTAGAAAAAAAGATTCATCCTGAGTGAGGTAACCCAAATCCCAAAAGATAAGTATGATATGTATTCACTTATGTGTGTATGTCTGTTGTTAAGTCTTCAATAAGCAGGATAAAATCCAATATAACCACAGAGGTTAGGTATAGAGAAAAGTATATTGAGGACGTCTCTCGGAAGGTGAAATAGAATATATAGTTATGAATGAACAGGGTGGGGCTATAATCGGAGAATTAAAGGAAAGGGAACAGAAGAGGAGGTGAGGAGGGGAACACAAGGAGGGTGAACTAAAACTAAAGACCATTTGGGGAGGGTGTCATTTGAAAACCTGCTACAGTCAAAGCTTCTTAAAATATATACATGTATGAAAGAGATACAAAGAGTCACTAAGAACAGGGGAGACAAAGCCCCAACTAGACATCACATTGAAACCTCCAGTGTTGGGGATGGGGTCTATCTAATTCAGTTGTTGGCTAAGGGGTCGCCCAAATAACGCAAGCTCTTTCCGAGGTTATTTACTGATTGCTTACCACATGCTGACGGTAAGGGCCTACCTAGAACCTTCACCCCTGCTGAGCAGTTCTCTTGATACTGTAAGGCACTCTGCCTTAGAGTAAACATCCATCACCTACAAACCCTTCAGTCTACAACAGTAATCTGTTCACAAGATATGCTGGAACGATAGTGGCACCAAAGTTGTGGCAGTAACCAGCCATTATCTGGTTGGATTTAAGTCCTGCTCCATGAGATGGAACTCATGCCTGACACTGCTTGGGTGGCCAAGAATATGAGTTCAGATAGGCCACGGACCTAGAGGAAAACCAGATCCTTCTGTTCTGCTGAAGGAACTTATCAATAAAATGACTCCTGATGATAGTCTGCCATACGCCTAGAGTAGGTCCTGGTTCAGCCACCATCAGAGAAGCTTCCTCCTGCAGTAGACGGGACCAGACACAAAGACCCACAACTGGGCAATGTGTAGACAGTGAGAGAGCTGGGAGCATTCAATTCTAAATGGATGTCTATGTCAAATCCTTCCCTCAGGACTCAGGGAACTCTGCAGAAGGGGAGGCGGAAAGAGTGGAAGAGCCAGAGGGGATGGAGGACACTAAGAAAACAAGGCCCTCTGAACACAATAGGATTGTTGCAATGAGAATTTTCAAAGACTCTGGCAGCATGCATAGGGCCTGCACAGGTCTAAGCCAGATGGGGTCCCAGGGCTGAATGGGGACAAACCACAACCCCTAACTCGAACTGATAACCACTCAAAAAGGAAAAATTAGTTTTCTCCAAGTCTCACTAGGTAGACAAACCACACTTACAGGGCAGGCTCCATGCCTAGCAGAGGATGGCTAACATAAAACAAACTCAAAAGTATTTTTTTCCCAAAGGTATTTTTTGAGTTTTTTTTTTTTTTTTCTCATAATGCTTTGTCTGGGCCTTTTTCTTTCTTTCTTTTTTCTTTTTCTATCTTTAACTTTCTTTCTTTCTTTCTTTCTTTTTTTTTACCTTACAGGTATTTTGCTTATATATTATGGTTTCCAACTTTGTGTTTTTGTTGGGTTTCTGTGTGTGCAAATGTGTGTGCCTCTGTATCTGAATGTGTTTCCTGTGTTTTTCTCTGGCTGTTTTTGTTTGTTTGTTTGTTGTTTTTGTCCTATCCTGGTTTGCATTTATTTTAACTTATTCTAGTCACCCGAAGGTGAATGAACCCACAGGAGAAGCCAACAGCCCAGAGGCGATCTGGAGATAGCCAATGCAGAAGACAATGGGCTACTTAATCTCCATCCTGCTCCAAAGACTTTAAAAGGCAAACATTTATGGGCAAGTCATTAAACCATAGTGCTGAAGGCTTGGTGCTAGCTTATAGTGCTGTTGGGTGGTGGTGTGGCCTTTAAGAAGTGGAAATAAGGGGAGCCTGGGACCCTGGGACCCTAGTCCTCCTCTCTTTGCTTCCCAGCCACCGGGAGTGGGCGGATTCCTGTCACACCCCCCATTAAATAACGCAATGACTGTGGGAATAGCCTGGCCGTACCTCACGAGTCACAGAGTTCCTGTGTGACTCAAGAATTCCACCTCTAGATTTGTTCCTGGGAGCAACATGAGTGAGTCCACACAGGACATGCATGTTGACAGCAGCAGCATTTACAAGCCAAAAGAGGAGGAAGCCATGTACCTGCCAGTCACTGATCAGAGAGGGAATAAGGCATGGGCACAGTGTGCACACACCACGGGAGGTTATTCAGCTATGACCAGGGGGACATATGCTGAGCCGTCAGTCACGAAAGGCTGGATACAGTGATCCATTTATGCAAAATGTACGCTCATGACTTTCCTGGCCACCATGGAGCTGTGCACGCCCGCATACCAACAGCCACCGAGCTATAGTTATCTGGGTTCGCAACAGCAGCCATGGGGCGGTGCACGTTCATGACTGTATCCGTAACCATTGAGCTCCGCAGAGTCTTGGCTTAGAGCAACCATCAGGCCACCCAAACTGGTGACCAGGCCAACGACAGATCTGCACAACCATCACCATAGCAGCAACTCCTGGTCTGTGCCAACCAATGGCTAGAAGAACAACCACTGAGCTGCACATATTCAGGCCTATAACCAACAACCACTGGGTCCTCCAGCCCATGGTGATACCAACCACCGTCAGGCCACACAAACCCACGACTATACCGACAACTGTAAAAGCTGACTGTTATCACAACCATGGAGCTACATCAATCCATGACGGTACCATTCGCCATTAGGCTACACAGATCCTTGGCTATTTAGTCACCAGCCCTTGGCGGTACAAACCCATGTACATGTCAACAACCACCCCACTGCGTGGTGCAAATCTGTGACTGCACCAACAGCCACCAGGCCAGAGGTTGCACAGACAGACTGATGGGGCCTCGATGTGGGCAAGGCAGTCCACCCTGACCCAAGGTTCCTATAACCGGGCTCTGTGTGGCCCGGATCAGCCCAGCGCTTTGTGGGTGCCGACGCTGGGAACATTAGGAAAGAAAGTCGGGCCGCTCTTACAAGAAAGAAAAACTGCCACTGACCTTGGGTGGAAGGTCGGGGACCCTCAAGGTGACGACAATGGAGAATTCTTCAGGGAAGAGATCACAGCTGGAGAAGATTCTAGAGGCGGGGAAGCTCGCGGTACGGGGCTCGGTGGCTGGGAACTGGAGGCCCCGCACACCCTCCGCCTGCACCATCCGGATCCCGCTTGTAGCACCATTCAAAGGGACCACCTCTGCCAGGATGTCCAGGGGACGAAGGTCTGTGGCAAAGAAATGATGGGGGCAGGGGTTAGGTAATGGCTGGGCCACGTGACAGCCATGATGGCTTACTCTACAGTTTCTTGAGCATTTCCAGCTTTTGCACCATGAAAGCTATCAGAGCCACGCTAGAGCTGTGGTGTCAAGCTGTGAACCCCAAACAAGTTAAACAGTGAATTTGGGCTAGCGCCCAGGAGCAGACTTCCAGCATGGCTGGTGGATGGCGAGGAGCAGTCACAGCGGGTAGTGCTGGGGCTGTAGCCTGCCACAGAGGGGCCCACTGCCTACACAAGAAAACAGCCCTGAGGACATCTGCAGAGCCACTGGACACTGTGTTTGCTACTGTCCTCATGACTGGGACATGTTTTAAAATATCCCACATAACCCTCCCTTTGCCTTTAAAAATGTCCCCTTGCCTCAGCCTTCTTGAGCTCACCCATGGTTTACCACAGTGCGTGTTCTCATTACTTTCTGTCTCTGCCCTTTGGAGATACCCTATGTGTGTGTTACCCAAGTTGCCTCACTTTTTCCTGGGAGCAGAGAGCAAGGCTATCGACCCCTGCTTTACCATTTAGGAAGTATAGGTGTCTAACACCAACAGTGATTCTGCCTCGCCTTTGCGTACATGAGTGACCACTGCAGGATGAGCCACGTGGTAGCTCAGCCCCTGAGGATAGGAAGCACCAGGCCATCCACAGCTCGTCTGGTGCCATGCAGGACCCCCGGGGCACTGTCTGTGGGGAGACAGGCAGGGTGTCCTGTGTCTTCCATCAGCTAGAGGGAGGAGAGGAGGCACCTGGGAAAGGCTCTGCTTCCTAAGTCAACAGCACTAGAAACAGAATCAACGGTCTGGTCTGGTCCTCACCGGTCATGGAGAGCTTTGGTACTGAAAGAAAGCCTTTGGGACCATCCCTCTGGGCCCTGGGAGGAGGTCGTGAGGAGAGCCAGGTGGGTTGGCTGTGTCCACAAGAACTGACCAAGGAAAAAGAAGGCAAGAAAGCTGCGGGCCTAGATTCCTGACAGAGAATGAAGATCTTTAGAAAAGTGTTAGCATGTCACGCTAGCTGTAGAGAGGGACAATGCATCACACAGGAGCCTGACACTGGCCAACATGCCAAAGCAGTTAGTATGAGGACGACTCGGGACCTCCCCTGTGGTATTAATGACCCCCTGAGTCTGTCAGTGTGAAATAAAAATTAAAAAAAAAACTTTTAATAAATACATAAAAATATACATCTGTTAAAAATAACAAAGGATGCTGCCAGGTGGTGGCACACGCTTTTAGTCCCAGCACTTGGGAGGCAGAGGCAGGCAGATCTCTGAGTTCAAGGCCAGCCTGGTCTACAGAGCAAGTTCTAGGACAGCTGGGGCTACACAGACACTCTGTCTTGAAAAACAAAAAGTAACAAAGGAAACCCTAGACTTCTCTCTACATAAACATAAAAGCAGTTAACAGACAAGAACGTTTAGGCTAGACAAAGGCAGCCTGGAAGTCCTAGAACTGCAATGGGGATGCCATGGCTTGCTTCCGGAGTGACCCTCAGGCCTATGCTGAAGGCCTGGTTCCTAGCTGACGGCACTATTGGAGGTGGCATCATAGGAAGTGGGGCCTAGCAGGAGGAAGTTAGGTCATTGGGGGCATGGTCTTGAAGAGGTTCTGGGACTCAGGGCTGTTTCTCGTTCTCTCTCTCTCTCTCTCTCTCTCTCTCTCTCTCTCTCTCTCTCTTCCTGGTTGTGGTGAGATGAGCACCCTCATCTCACCCCTCCATATGTCCCATATGATGTGTGCCTCACCGCAGGCCCAAAGTGCCAGGGCCAACCCATCGTGGACGGATTCCTCCAAAACCATGAGCTAAACTAAACCTTTCCCTTTTCTCAGGTAATGACCTGGGGGATGCCATCGCAGCATCAGTGGGAAGTCAACTCACAAAGGAAATGCTAGATGCCCCTGCCCACTGTGGTCACACAGAACTTGGCCTGCTTCCGGGGAGGCCCAGGGAACACCATTCCTGCAGCAGAGCATGAGGCCTTGTTTTATAACTTCCATCTGCAGGAGAACAGCTGAGCCTGGACCAGAGGGTAGTCAGCAGTAGAGAAGGTAGGAAGAGCTCAAGATAAACCAGCGGCCAAATGAGGCAGAACAAATAAGGAATGAAGAATGAAGAAACCAATGAAGAAACAGGGGAGAGGGCTGGGTCTGCTTTTCGACATAGTTCAAGACACAGTATACAGCGGCCAGACAGATGGGCTGGAGGCAGAGCCCACAGAACCGTGGTAACCAGACAGAGGACAGGGCTCCAGGGGAGTGGAAATGATGGGCAGATGGTTCCATAGCAACCGGCTGTTGGGAGTTTCCCAGAACCCCCTGGCACATGTTAGCAACAAAGGGGAAATGGCAGCAGAGGCTTATGTGCATGGGTCCCACAGGCCACACTGTGTGCTGAGCTGTGGCCTCACATGAGCCCCAGTTTGACTGGGAGAAATGCAAGTGGCCCATGAGCGGTGTTGTACAGACAAGCAAGCCCTTTTCCCCAGAGTCAGGGTCACAGGAAGGAAGGGCTGAAGGCCATAAGGCCTCTCTCAAGCCATGCAACACTGGTGCCAACTGCTGGATCCTGGTGAAGCCAGTCCTGGTGGAAAGCAACAGGCCGGCAGGAATATCTGGATTTGGTGACGGGTTTGTGGGTGTGCTGGCCTGCTCCCAAGCAGGAGCTCCAGGTGGCCTAGAATGTGACCCCTTAGGAGATGATGGGTTCATACAGGTCTTGGACCTGCACACATGACTGTCTTTGAGAGTAGGGTCTTTGTAGATGACCAAGGTGTGATGGGTCACTAGGTGGGCTACAAAATATCTGATGGGAGTCCTTATAAAAAGGGATGTGTTGGACTCAACCCATGGGGAGAAAGCAGATGTCAACACGGTTGGTAATGCTGGGGTCCAGGTGGCCTGGGCAGCTCCCTCAGCTCAGACCAGCCAGCACTGACACCTGAGGTGGACCTCAGTCTCCATGGTGAGACGGGCACATCTCAGTTAGCTATACTGTTGAGGTACTTGGCTGCACACCTTGAAGAAACTGACAAACTGACACAACTCTGCCGGGAAATCATAGCGTTTCTCTACCCTGAAGCCCCAGGGGCCTTTGCTAACCACCGCCATCCCAGAACTGTAAATTCCTGCCTCAGCTCAAGAGGCACAGGGCCAGGACTGATTGATAGCCACATGTCCCTCTAGCACCATCAATACCCCAGACCAGTACTGCCTTACCCCCAAACAACCCAGGAAGAAAGCCCAAGTGAAGGACATGGAACATAACTTATTGTTATGAGACTAAACATGAGGTGAGGCACCAGCTGTGAGCAGCAACTCAGGAAATAAAAATAGGAACGGGGCCAACAGCAACCAGGAAGGAGTGGTCTCGGGCTGGGCCGGTAGTACCAGCCAGGGAGGAGTATAAAGCCAGTGTATCCTACCCCTGACACATGAACTCACACATTCACTGAGTACTCACTCACCCTCCTCCAGCCAACCCCGCCATGGCCGCCTCCACCATGTCTGTCTGCTCTGACGCTCGCACCAACTCCTCCTGGCAGGTGGATGACTGCCCAGAGAGCTTCTGTGAGCCCTGCTGCTGCCAGTCTAGCTGCTGTGCCCCCAGCTGCTGCCAGTCCAGTTGTTGCCAGCCCAGCTGCTGTGCCCCAGCCCCCTGCCTGACCCTTGTCTGCACCCCAGTGAGCTGTGTGTCCAGCCCCTGCTGCCAGTCTGTCTGCTGCACACCCTCTTGCTGCCAACAGTCTAGCTGCCAGCCAGCTTGCTGCACCTGCTCCCCCTGCCAGCCCTCCAGCTGTGTGACTCTCTGCTGCAAGCCTGTCTGCTGCACACCCATCTGCTGTGGATCCTCCTCATGCTGCCAGTCCTCATGTTGCCAGCCGCCTAGCTGTGTGCCTGTCTACTGCAAGCCTGTCTGCTGCACACCCATCTGCTCTGGATCCTCCTCATGCTGCCAGCAGTCTAGCTGCCAGCCCTTATGCTGCCAGTCCTCATGCTGCCAGCCATCCTGCTGTGTGCCTGTCTGCTGCAAGCCTGTCTGCTGCACACCCAT